AGGAGACAAAGGGATGACCCATAGTCAGCACCCTGTTAATGGCCATGAGTTATGGGCTGATGTCACGCTCACAGCAAGCCAGCATACAGATGGCCTTCTCCTTGAACTAAGTGTACGCTGTCAATTCCTCATGCTCTCCATATCTCACTTTCTATTTCTTTTAAACAACCAACATGAGACCAGTGAAATTTTCCAAGATGACACAGAATGGGATTTTTTTCTTGCATCTTTTAGCCTTCAAATGTAGAGCTGATTATTTTAGGTCAAGCGAAAGGAAGACAGGGCAGAACTGGATGGAAATAAGATTTGTCTTTGTATATCAGAAAAGGCTCTGAAGCCTTCAGATGGGGATACAAACAATAAAAACTACAAGATTATTCCCCAACAGGTATGGAACTTACTTTTCGGAATAAAACTGAACTTTTTTCCTTGACCAATTGCGCTTCGAGATCTTCTCATATGTCTGCAAGCATTTAAAGTTGAAAAATGAAATGGACCATAAATTGAACATCAGGGCCAAGTTCAGGGACACTTCAGACTGATCTTGGGCGTCATTTCAAAATGCTAACTGAAGTGAAAGGGAGCAAGAGGTAGAGGGATAGTGCTGTAATGTATGAAGAGAGACTTAGAAAGACCCCAAGGTGAGCGATAAGTGTGTCCACGTGTTTGGCAGGCTACAAACCAAACCAAACAATCAGACAGTGGAGAGGTTTGCATGTCAGCCAGACGAACAGACTCGTTGTATGAAAGCCCAGAGAGCTGTTAGTACGTCAGACCAGATGGGAAGGTTGGAGGAACGCCAGGTGTTGATGCTAGTGGGCAGGTAAGGCCAGTTTGGCAACTAGACATGTGAAATGGTTTGATGTAGTCCCTGTTCCAGATTAATAATTGGCTGAGAGAGGGCAACTGATGGCACTTTAAACATCAGTTTCATAACCGAGGAATGCATTCATGAGAGCAACAGTGAGTAAAGGCATTATTTATATCTTGCAAATGTGAGGTGTAAATGGACACGGTTAAGCAATGCTTGCCGCAGCCCCTCGCCAAGACCAATATTGTTCCAGCCGACGGAGCTCCCGGGCTGGAAAGCGGGAGAGAGAGAGAGCGGGACCCCCTCCTCAATCACCACCACCGTCCTCCGCTTAGTAACAGTGGGGTCTCCACAGTATCCTTCAATTATGTTGTAGTTTATGGCCCCGGGGCGCAGCCAGTCCGCCGTGTACAGGGCCGGGATCCAAGCTTTGTCTCCCTCCACCTCTCTTGACCCAGCCATCACCACTCCACAGGGCCACATCTGCTACTGAACATGACCCATTGACTTCTGATTCTCTTTTCATTCCATCCATAACCTTCTTCTTACTTCTCTGTATCCCATTGATTCCGTTTCTTTAAGACCTTTTACTTTCATCCACTGAATTCTTTATACTCCAACTGCTTCCAACCATTTCTCTAATATAGTTTTTGAGTTTTGAACACAGGAAAATGAATGCGTGTGCGCCTTTGCGAGAACAGAGAGTGAACTGTTATCATTCCCCAGTTATCCATCTAATCCTGACGGGGTTCATGTCAAGGGACTTCCTACTACTGCTGCTGCACACACAACTAATCCTTACAGTATGTATGACTTTAGGAAGAAAGTATTGCTTTAGTCAAAGAGAGACTTATGTTCCTCTGGTAGGGGCTGCTGCAAACTCTGCTACATTTTGCACCTGCCCTCTGTGCATAGAGAGAGGGGGGAGTTTACAAATCCCATAACTCAAAGGAGGAACTGGGCCATTAAAATGAAATAGTAAGGGAACAGTACAGCACTGTCTCTCTTTTACTTTTCAGGAGGCTATTTTTGGCCATCCTGCACCATGTTTGCCAATATGCGGTTGAACATAACCAGGAAATGACAACATCCATAATTCACCCAGAGTTTGAATCCGAAGCAAATGAGCCTAATGCTAAGTTTAGCAGGGGTGGTCAGAGTAGCTGTATTCGGGTATTTCAGAGCACTGTATTGAAAGAGTCACGTTACATTAAGGGCTCACCGCCATGTCGAGTGAAACAAGTAGGCAAACTGACATATCCGTCTCAAAGCAGTAATCTACAGTTTAGAAAAATAGGGGAGAAAAAGAACCAGCCTTTGGTTCAATGGGGTCATTGTGGGACCACAACAGACCTATAAAGCCGAAAGTACAAGTGTAGTGTATTTTTCTGAGGTTTTAAATGTCCGGGAAATCAAAATGAGAAGACGGAGGCAAGCCGTTTATTTAAGTGCAGAAGCCACTGAATGTGCTCTCATTAGGCGGGGAAACATGGTTATGGCTTTATAGAAATAGGCAAACATATGAGAGAGAAACAGGCAAGGTGGGAGGACAGTAGAGTATGAATGGAGAAGCCTTGGGATTTTTTTAAATCAAATCAGCTCATGGAGAGAACAGTGCCGGTCACATGTAAGTAACACATACACTGTTAACAAGTAGTATGAAATGGGAAAACCTTTTCCTTTATTAGGGCCGCATAATAAATAACAACACTATCATTATTGGTCTACAGGTACTTATAATAATCACATTTTAAAAGTCTGAATTTATCACAATAATTACAGAAAAAAATGGGTTGAGTAAAAGAGCAATGCTTTCTTACTCAGTATGTGTGCATTTTAACTGGTGGATTGGGGGTTGGTTATCCCCGTAGCTTTTAGACACCAGCAAGAAAATGGCACCAATTAAGAGGTGAAAAAAGCGTTTTGGATTTATTTTGGATTTAAGACAGACTTGTTGTAAACACAGTTGTAATTTAAAAACACAAAGAAAACCTTCATGTAACACCTTATATGCACTCTTTGATTTCTATTTATTCATTGCTCTTCATATCATTATTGCACTGTTGAAAGAATTTATTGAGCACCACAAATTTTTCTCATATCGTGCAGGCCTAGCTACCATTTCTAAAACATTGAGCTGATGTACAAGTGCCTTGTATCGAATTAATTGTACTCCATTGATTGTTGAAAGAAGTCTTATAGAGATATAGATCTTATATAGATATCGATCTTATATAGAGTTTATTGGGGGAACTGATGAATAACACTATAGATAATGTCTTTGGTTGTATTTGTAACACATGCTAACACAAGCTGCACTAATTTAATTAAGTCTTCATTATGGCAGCCTTAATTTGCCAGAACCATATCCATATTTTTTATGTTCTCTTTTTTTTTTAAGAAAAGCCAGAATGCAAACATTATGTGCACATAGTCAGCTCACTGCAGACTCTGTCTGTGTGGGGTAAGTGGACCTGCAAATTCTGAAAGACCCACAGCAGATATTGGCAGCATGTCTTACTCCTCCATGGCTACAGGCAAGCACACACAGTCATATTGTAATGTGCAGTCACAATGCCAGCTGGACAGCCTTCCATTCATGCACTGTAGCTAAAACCATTTACAAATCACATTACAATTTGGAAACTGTTTGTAAATCATCGCTAATGTCTTTGTTGTTTTAAGCCTGCATGTCAGGGAATGTCTTGTAGAGCTTCATAGTCAGGTGCGGGTGAAAAGCCCTGCTGTGGGCCAAAACGGCCGGGGAATAAACAGCAGGAGCATGTGGAGACTGTGCAGACGTCTAGCGCACACCCCTCCAGCCTACATTTCTTTGTGGAGGCTGGTAGGATTGGAGATTGGCTAAGAAATGCAAACACTCTTGTTAAGTCAAAATATTTGTTGATGATGCAGCAGCTGGCTTCTTTTTAGAGACAGTTATGCATTTAGCGGCCTAAATACTGAAAATATTTTCCACTGATAAAACGCCAGAAGCAGGTCCACGGTCCTTAGACAATGAGAGCATATTTAGTTCAAATTATGAAGAACGTTTTGATCCTTTTTTTTTTTTACTGATTCAAAGATTTGCAACAAGACAACCGAAGACTTCAGCTTTTCTATACTTTCTACTGAAGAGATTATTCTTTTTTCCACTGTTTCGGTGCAGATATAAACTTGTTTCTCAATCTCAAATCTTGATTCACAGTCTGTAGGCCATACGTTGTTTCTACTGCTGTCCTGTACTTCTGTAACATAATTTATGTCCCCTGTCTTCATTATGGACCAATTAACCTTTTTTGATTTATAAGGGTCATTTAGCTATAATCCCTCCATTTCCTGATCTCCTTCATTCAGGCTTGTTGTAACAAAGTTCCTCTTAAGTACTCCCACTGATGTGTTCGACTTCACTTTTTTCTGCACTGCCGGGCCCAGGTTTGGGTTACTGTAAGGTCATAAGTACTGTAGGATCCATTGAAATGAAAGTTTTCCCCATGTTTTCCATAGTTTCTTTTTTTTAACTGTGTGTTATGATTCAAGCACATCATGTCATCAGTATTTCATCATGTGGTGGATTTTCTTTGTTCTTAATTCTGCAGCAGGTAACAAACACATTTGTTTTTTTACAATTTTTGTTTTTGTCAAATTCTGAGTCCATCCAAGTTATCTGCATCACCTTAATCACAGGGGACGAGCATAAGGAACATTCATGTGTTCCAAAAAATAAAGTTTTGTCTCCAACATGTCTGCGTTTCTAGCATCAGATCATGAACCTATCATTAGGCTCTCCGAGATGTGGAGAGGTAAGCTGGAAGAGGGGGCTGACTGTTTATGCTGGAAGGTGAAAAGGCAGAGTAGGTTTTCTCAAAAGTAAAAACCTTAAAGCGTTTTCTGCATGACTTAGAGCACATCAACACATAGAGAGGCAGAGGGGGGGAGAGAGGCGAGAGGGTCTGGCAACAGAGTGAACGAGACACAGAGAATAAAACATGGAGCAGACAGGAAAACAAGAAGGAAGAAGGTCCGTCCAGACACAACACTTCCTCTGATGACAGGTGGTGGATCTTTGCAGCAGTCCAGAGTAACATCCCTACCTTCTGAGTTATTCTCCAGCCCACCCACCCGTTGCAGTGTACTGCACTGTCATGTACTGGTTGGTTAGAACTTATCACAAAAGATAATTTATGCTCACATGATCGTCGAGAGATCTTCTGTGACGGCACAGTGGCAATGGGTCGCGGCACAGCAAATCTCCTGGAAGACATGAGAAAGAAAAGGAACAATAAAACCATCACTCTTCATGACCGCACAGGGAATAATAAACGCTCCCTGCTACACTAGAGAGAACCCACTCGTCAATATTCACCAGTTTCCTTCTGTCAGTTGAGACTGGTGAAAGAGAAAAAGGCAGACTGAGTGAGGCTGTGAAGGAGAAACACTTGCTGTTGACGACACTGCAAACTTCAAAATGAACTTTTTTTTTTTTTTTTTTTTTTAAATTGCTCTCCTTTTTCTTTTGCTTTCCTCCCTGATCCTTTTTCTCTTTTTTATTTTGGGTGCTTGTGGACGGTGCCAAGAAGCTGCCCCGGCCTCTTGAGCTCTGTGTTGCACATCAAGTGCGGCCGTCGGAGTGCACACTGATGTTCGATTTTCCATCCACTTGCCTTCCAAAGTGGATCGGTACCAGCACTATCATTTTCTGTCATTACTCATTTCGGGCCAGACATTGTGCGGAAATCCAGACTATTTTGGCAGTGAGAAGGAAGGAAAAAAACGAGGAAAGGGGGGGAGAGACAGAGAGTGAAAGTTGTGCGACCGTGTCAGTAAAGACAGTCTTGTTAAAGGGACAGGCTGACGGGTTTCTTACCTCTCCTGGAACTGTTTGGACGGGATTAGGCCGGCACGAGGGTTGGTGTCCCCCTCCTGCTTGGCCTGCCACCAGGTCGCATCATCCTGGCTCATGATCTGAAGGATGGAGCCCTTCTTGAAGGCCAGTCCAGCCTCTTTACACGGGATGGCATTATCCTCCTTAGGGTCGTAGTCAAAGAGTGCTTTCACAAACACCTGGACACAGAGCAGAGGTGAGGAGGGGGGGGAGGACTTGAGCTGGATTGACAACAGGAAAACCTGCAGTTCACTGCAAAGTACAGAGAGTGTAAACGCTAAAGGAAATCCATCATGGCAAGAGCAGAAGGTGCTTCAGCAAAGCTCTGGGTGATTATTTCATAAAGGTCAATGCAATCAGAAGTTGAAACCTGCAACAGGACAAGGTAATCTCTCTCTCCATGTTATTCCATCAACACTTAAGACACACTTAACCCTGTCACCGTCATCTAAATGAGACAACACTCCAGATCTCCTGAGCTAGAGAGTCCAGTTGGAAACGCTCTGTTCCACAAACTAAGCACAGTCAAATCAGGAATCTTTCCATATTAACTCTCTAAAGAGAGACCATGTTGTTTGCATAATCCTATTTAAATCTCTCAAGAATAAAAACCAAAGCAACCCTAAGCAATTATTATGTTTGCCGTGAAAAGCTGAGATTTGTTTTGTTGCTGTCATGTAAACGCTCATTGATGACATCTTTCACTGCGTATTTCAGAAGGCCATGAACTTGAAGCAGGGGATTGTACTTTACATTTTTAAAAAGTTTTCCTTCTCTTACATCATTCTGTGTTATGTACATTTAAAATTCAATGCTGAATTTAATGCACAGTGCTAAGTGATATGACAACAACAAGAGCAACAAGAGAGAAATGGATTTAAACAAATACTCAGATAAAAGGCATCACAATAAGTTTTAAAGAAGCTTGTAATTCTTTTAATAAAACTAAAAGAACTGTCTTTGAACGTCCTTGCACTCTAAGAAATGACATCACGATAAGCAGAAGTTAAAGCCTGTGCAGAGGATTTCTAATGCAAAGTTTTAAGGCTTAAGGAGCAGTGGACACATGAACTCAAGTTGTTTTCTTTCTTTAACTAGGTGCTCTAATTTCATTTGGCAGCGGTGGATAGGACACCTCATCAACACAAAGAAGTCTGAACCTTATAGTGGAAAAATCTCCGACATCCTTTCCCATCGTGGGCGGCGAGCTACAACCTGCAGAGCCTTGCTGCGTCTTCTGTCTAAACTGAGACTTGACAGGATGAGTTATCACTCCTAACACACCTTAGTACATGTGGAGAGAGCTAAGAGAGCTAAAGAAATGATGTGTGTTTAAGAAAGAAAAAAAACAAACAGACGAGGAATAGTTAGATTCACTTTTTTGATATCCTATTGATTTAGAGAGTGCTTCGTGCCATGTAGTAAAATTATGTTTCAGACAGAGATGTTTTGTTTGGGTCATAACAGCAGCTTTGGCTGCTAAACCCTCCGGCAGATTACGCTCATACATCCACACTCTGAGATCTCCAGCTTTCCTTTTCCTGGCTCGGTGTTTTTGGCCTGTGCATGTTTAGCCACTTAGCTGCCCTTTGATGCATATGCAGTACCTGATGTAAGCGTGCAGGATGTTTTCACGCAGAAGAGGCTGAGTGTTTGGCACTGCAGCTCTGTTTTTCAGCTGGTTCCCTTTAAAGGCCAGGCAATTTAACCACAACATGATGACAAAGGATGGAAGTGACCCACCTTGTCCTGTACACCTCTGTTACACATGCAGGGTGGGCTGTGTTGTGAATAATGATAAACCGCCTTCGACCCTGGAGCTTAAAAACAGCTGAGCGTAACCAGCCTCTGCCTGCTTCTGATGGATGAGTGTGTGAGAAATGATGTATCATCACCACAGTGGGTGAGAACGACAGTATGCTGGAGTGACAGTGAAAGCATCTTCAAAATGGATTTCTAAAAGCTACTGTCTACTGGTGCAGTCGACATGAATAGATACAATCTTGTCTTACACATGGCTGCGTACCAAACCTTAATACTTTTTTGGTTTCCAGAAGAAAGATTAAGGGAAAAAAATAGTTGAGGTTTATTTTCTTGTTAATTGGAAGTTTTCTTGAGTTGCAACAACGTTTGGGTCTGTATTTTATTGGTCGAAATATGGTTGCATGAAAAGATGCCATACAAAAATACGAAACAGCACACACATCTGAAAAATTAAGTACTGGGTGCTGAACAAAAAAACATCCAAAGGTAGAAATATGTTGTGTAAAGGACTAGAGCCTGAAACGTTACAGGTGGCAATTTTTCCATTGAATTATATTTAATTGGAGCAGCTTCTGGTATGAAAAGATGCCATCCAATGAAAAGGAAGCGGCTTACATTTAAGGCCCTGGGGGGGGGGGGGGGGGGCTGCACAATCAGGGCCAGAAAAGACCCTGTGAAATGCTCAAAATGGTCTAAAGGTGAAGCCTGTTCTAAAGTTACCTGGCCCTTACAGTGACATGCAGAAATACTGTGTTCAGTGGACTGCTGAGATATTGAGGAGCTCTCTCCTGTCTTAATTCATTTCTCACTGAGGCTCAAAAAGCATTGTTCTGCATCTAACAAAAAAGGCAGATATCTGTTTTTTTGTGATCACACAACAATCCAGCCGGGACAACATTTACCTTTGGTTCTTTGGACGGCGCCTCGTCCTTGACCCCTGGGACGACTTTAAATGTAATGGCTCCTTGTGATTGGGCCTGCAGAGTAGAAAAGAAACCATATTTACAATATTTAAGACACAAATGGAGGGGGTGAAACCATCCATCAGTCATCTATCCTGCAAACATCTCACAAAGCTTCTAATCCAATGAAAATCCCATAATGAAACCACTGTTTGATTTTTTAACAATGGAGGGTTATAAGGATTGGATGACTCTGCTTGGCAGGGATAGAGTGTGTGTGGGGGTAAAAGGAGTAGTGTTGAGAGCGATCATCTGCTGTGAAGGCCTTTGTGTCTGACTTTAAGAGACTCCCTCTTTCCTCTCCGGTTGTCCCTCTTGGCAGAGTTCAGACATATGATTGAGCTTATTTGAGGACTGCTTGGAGGAACTACTGAGCATCAATCACATCCTCTCAGCATGTGGTCTAAATACCAGGAAAGACTCCTAGAGAAAGGCCAGTGCTTGGTTTTCAGCACATTGATGGGATCCACAAGATTGTGGATGAGTTTATTGTCTGGCCAACTCGAACAAGAACATTTTTGCATTGGAGAAACCCTTAAGCAATGTTCTGAACTAAAGTGAAGCAAGTTTTCATTTTGTGTTAATTCTATGAGTTTTGCTGCAGGAGGATACTACGTACTTATTTGCATTGATAAAACATAAAGGTGAATATTCCCACCTCCAGATTGGTCTGAAACCCAAATGCTGTGGAGTTTATGTTCAGTACATTGTTATCTTTCCAAAGATGACTTATTTCTTAAAGGACTCTGTCATGAATAATTCAATTCTGCTAAAAAGCTACTTGATGTTGACCAGTGCTCACTGTCATTTGCTAAATCAGGCTTAGCATTGTGCGAGGACTTCTTGGTTGGACTCAAAGAGCCAACTTTCTGTAAAAGCTGCTGAAAGCCACTTAATCTGTTTTCTGTGATTGGCAGTTTCTGAATAAAAAGCAAGCATGTTGCATAAACGGGCTAAAATGATGCCAAAACAGCTCCATCATGAACTGCAGAGTTATAAAAAGCAAAAATGCATGCTTTGTGTCAGATCTTTTACAAAAGAAAAAGACAAAACAATATAATTTATTTTCTTTTTTTAATAGAGTTTTGACAAACCACTTACAATAAAATTCAGGACAGCACATATATCATGGAGTTTTGAATTGTCAGTGCCTTCCTCTTGGTTAATAAATTGCACAACTGGAAATGTGTTTTGGTCATATTCAATGACTGGGCAAGAGAAGTGGTGATTCTAGAGTCCATTATGGCCCAAGGCTAAAATCAATCGGGGGACCTTTGAACCAGCTTTCAGCAGGGCAATGAGAGTGAATGCTGTCAGATGGGGCCCCCTTAAGGAGGTTTCTTACTGTCAATGCAAAATTTGCACATTTTGGGTCACTGCTTTAGTTTGAATTTTGTCAGGCCCCCTACTGCTCTGGGGCCCAAAGCAGTTGTCTGCCTTGCCTGTTGAAGATAGAGCTAAGAAGATATTAGCCGATACATCAGTGTATACATTTTTTTTCTCCTCAGTATCGGTACTGGCCCCAAAAATTCCATATTGGTCGGGCCCTGGTTTGTTGTCTTTGGTTGGTTTTGTATGTCGTCGCACAGAGCAAAAGTTTCCTTTTGGTCTGAACACACTTGACAGAATTTACACACAGGGCACAATGCAGTGACAAACACAAACAGATGGGTCTCACCAGAATACGAATGATTTCCTCTGGTTTCTTGTCATCCACGGGGATTCCATTGACTTCCTTTAGCTCATCGCCCACATGAATCAGTCCTACCACACAAACACAACATTTGCATATCTATAATCACACTCACGTTTCATTATTCAACGTCCTAATATAAGTGAGCTACTGTGTAGAAGTCAAGAGCTCACACAGCCCGGGGATGTGTACAGTACATCAGATTAATGTTTATCGTCATGGTGGCATTGGGGATTGGAAAAGTATCAAAACGTTATTGTGGACACATGTGGAAATGTGCCTTTGGCTTCTCTGTGGAGGAGCTGAAAAACAGGCTGGGCAAAATGAATACAAAGTCAAACAGAAAACATGTGGACAACAAGCAGAGCCTCTCAGTAAACTTGTCATTCATGATCACATTTACAAAGTGGGAGAGAACAACATATGGCATAGAACTTAGGCAGAAAGGACAAAAAAAGTCCTGTCCTTGTTGCACTCTGAAAGCAGTCCAAATGTGTTGTAATAGGATCCACTCTTTACTCTTGACCCAACACTGCACACTCACAAACATACAGCGTGTTTTTTGAGGACAATAACTAGCACAAACATGATTGAACCCATGTTAGAGAGAAAAGAGAGCTCGAACTGACCACTTCTGTCGGCTGCTCCTCCTCTCATGATGCGGGCCACGATTATGGCTCCTGTGTGTTCATCACGTCTTATCGTTGCTCCCTACAAAACAATCACAGAGAATAAATCAAAATAAGACAATCAGCAATGTTTTACCACAAGGCTACACTTCACCATGTTTTTCTAACACTAACATGTGTCCCTAATCTGTCTACAAACCCCCCAATGATGAGAAAAGTCTTCTGCCTGCTCCACTTTTCAGAAAATGTGTTCTCAAACAGGCCGTTTGGAGATTTTCCCTTCATGACATCACAAAAGGGCAGTAACCCCTCCCCCAGGTGGGTGACACTCCCACAGCTAGGTGTTTGTTCTGCCCTCTGAGTCTGCCTTCTCATGGTAAACAAAGCTTGTGTTTGTTGGTGATGCTGAGTATGTGTGTGAGAAAGATCAGACTTCAACTCCAGCCTCAGTCAAGATTCATATGATTTATATCAAGGATCGACCTTCATGGATCTTCAAAAGCAACAAAATAAAGAACGGTATATGTGTCATTAAGTTACAAAAAGTTTGTTTCTGCAGAAGGCATCAAATTCTTAGGAAAAAAGAGCTGGTCTAGACAAGGATTGGTGAGAGCCAAGCAGGTAAGAGATATAAGGCTGAAAAACACCAGCACGCACGCATGCACGCATGCACGCACGCACGCACGCACACGCACACCCTGACCTCTTTTATGGGCTTGGTGCTCAGCCAGAGAGACACACAGACAGAGGATAGCATTTCAACTTCCATATTTAGAAAACGACAGTGTATAGCAGTGATGCATTTACCAGTAAAGCCTAATAGCTGTTTCCCTTCACAATAAAAAGAAAAGCTTAATGGGTGCCAACCTGTCACAACCCTCACACAAACACAGATGACGCACCAACCTGGTCGGGATTTAGGATGGAATAGGATAGCAAAATGCACCTAACCCGTGGAGTCACCCTCGCTCAGGACTAACGACCCAAACCAGACAGATGTGTTGTCTAGCCCGACACATCGGTTTTATCGAGGCTGCAACTCATGCTCCACCCAGTTCAAGCTGCTATTCCAATTTTCCCCCAAGAATTGTTTTCATTTTGGTTGTTAAAAAAAAAAAGGTACAGACATGGAGCCTTCCTGGTCAGGCTTGTTGTGTTTTATTTCAGCTGTCCTAATCCATCACAGCCCGGGTCGGCCACAGGAGTACAACTACAGCTCTCCATGTGTTCCAACACTTCAGTTTATGTCATTTCTTTGTTTGCCTTCCCATGATGTGCTTAAAAAAAACTTCTGGCAACTTCCCTCTACGGGAAGGTAAGCAGAAGATACCAAAAGACCCTCATTTTCTCAAAGACCAAAGGGATCTCTGATTTGTGCCACTTTGCAGATACCATTAGCATGTCATCTTCGTTGTTTTCATGACCTGTTCACACCTAATGGTTTTCCTCCTAGATAATGGTTTCCTCAAGGCCTTTAAGGTATGGAGAAGAAAACAGTAGACGACATCAAGATAAGACAGTGGTTGGGCCTACAGAGAGTTGTGAACCTAACAGAGTAATTGGGCTTTTTAAAGAAACCTGAGAGGTTGCAGTAGGCGAGAACTCACTGAAGCAGGTCAGCAAGAGGGGAAAGCACTGTCAGACCCCCGTGTCAAGGTCATGTATAACCCCTTAGTGTGACTTAAAGCAGCTGGCTGTGATGCAATAGCCTCCAGACAGTCGAGGGGGCCATTTGTGTGTCTGAAGGAATAGAGCGCTGCAGGGGAAGAGACGGGCTGTGACAATGGGGTTGAGATTGGGAGTATGCAGGAAATCTCACAGGAGTATTCAGACATGTGGTCATTAACTTTCTCCCTGTTCTTTTTCTTTTCTGAACTGGATGATGGCCAGTGGTCTGATGGATGTTTTAAGTGCGTACCCCGGGGTCCCTGGTGGCTGGTGGCAGTCTAAAGGCTAACTAACAGCCTTGGACTCAGAGTCTGTCACAAAAATAGGCTGGCTGCACAAACACCACTCCTCTGCACCACACGTCTACAGCTATCTATGGAATCTGCTCACATATGGTGCGTAGACTGTGTCGTGTTTGACACATATGGCTCAAATCACATAGTGGCATTTGGAAACACCACTTCTACCACTTTTATTGCGAGTGGCAATTGTGATTATAGACCAGCACATTTAGCATGCAAATACAAAAGCTCGAAGTTGTGAACCCAAGCAAAGAGACCATTTTCACACCATTCAAACCACAACGTTTTCTGTGTTTTTTTCACACCAGTAGAGAAACAATCTCGGGTATGAGTTGACAAATTTCGCCTCTGTTCATTTTCCTTTGACACTTTATACATTCACTATTAGACGATATTTAAAGTTGGAGTAATTTTGAAGTCTCATTTGTGGGGATTCTCATTCGACCTACTGCCCTCAAACTGGCTGGGCCTACATAAGCCAGCCAAGACAGCAGCAAGAGAGTTTATGGGGGTAAGGGGAGCCTCACCGTTTTGGCCAGCCCAAATATGAACTCAGCCCTGCTACTCTAGCCAAATGAGCTCCGTCTGATAAGAAACCAGAAGAGAGGCCAAAACACTGCAGTGGCTAAGCGAGCGAGCCAGACAGGAGGGTAAGTGGAAGACCAGAGGAGAGTAAGGAGGGAGGTGGAGGAGGTCGACAAAGGGTAAATAAGTGGGGATTTGGGTTAAAAGTAAGAGTGGGTGTAAGTAAGAGACTTTGTGAAGATTACAATTTAAAAGGATTTGATGAGATAAAGTTACACTGTATGAAAATGAATTGGAGAGTGACAAAGAGCAGCATTTAAAGAAAAACAAGTTGAGAGAGAAGGCAGAAATATAATGGCATCATTTGGAGAGATTTTCTCTGGAACTTTTTGTTGTTGTCATTTTCAAGTTCTAGTAGCATAGTGTGCCAGAACCCCCCCCCCCCTCCTCATTACAATCTTTCTCTATTCTTTTAATCTTCCTGGGGTGTATCAGGCTCTCCTGGAGACCTCATGAATGCCTTGGAAGCAACTTCAGTTTGCTGGAACAAGCCCGATAAATCCAACCTCCTGAACTCAGCATCACCTCCCCCCCTGTGCCTTGATACCCTATGGGTGCTGTCATCAGTATCCAGCCAAGCATTGCACTAATGAGGAGCCTTTGCTCTGTTAAACAAATACATAAACAGTCAGGCAATAACCTAAATAAGCTACATGATGTGTGTGGGGGTGTAAGTAAGTTAGGAAGAACCATGGTAGGTAAAGACCCTCCAGCACCAGGATGGGCTTCCTGTTGTAGCAGCTAGGCATTAGCAGGAAGTGATGGCTGGGTTTACACTGAGCAGTCAACGCCTGTAGGCACATGGAAGCCATTTCAGACTTTTCCTCTTGCATGGAAACAGTGCAGGAAGTCAGAAGGGGAATGTCAACGTCTGTCAAAGCACATACACGCATGAGTGACAGCATGTGTAGGTGTGTTTTTGTGTGCATGCAAGCTTGTCTATGTGTGTATTTCTATGAGTGTAGCCAAGGGCTTCTACCTAAAGCCAGGCCAGAGACACCTCAAAAGCAGCATGATTGATGCTGGACAGTCAATAAGCCTGATTAATGGGCAGCACTGTGTTAGTAATTACAGACAGGGCGCCACTTAACCATCAAGTGATTTAATTCATTTGCATGAAAAAAGGAGCATGGTGGGCACATAAGATGGGAGAAATTGGGTTTCAGGAACTGATTCTCTTTTTCTTCTGTTCACCAATGAAGCAGCTGGGCCCTTAGATATACATCTGTGAATATAGACTCAAACAAGCAGGATTGTTCATAAATGTACTGTAACGCTAAAGGTCTCAGAAACACACAAACGCAGAGATCAGAGGGGTTAACCTTTGACTGGGAGAGGACTTTCTAGCTGTGGTCAATTAGTCATCAGGAAGGCGACCTGAAGCCTCCAAACTGATCAGCTCCATATGCAGCTGCTGCTCCCAGATCTATTCCTAACACATAAATGCCTCTGATTGTTATTGTTGGGTCGGCCAAAAAAGGCAACGGCTTAGTCTCTGCTGTGTGATGGAGGAGAACTGGAGCGACGCTCGTCCATATCAAGGCCTTCAACCCTTCCCAGCGCATGCAGTGGAGCAGGCACGCCGACATGGCAGCCACATTAAGTACGTGATGACAAATGGCTCACACCTCATACACTGCAGGAAAAAAAGAGAGAAGAGGGACTTAAATTTGGATCCTGTAACGCATGAGAGTGTGTGTTTATTAGAGGGAATGGAATGAAGGAAAGACTGTCCAGGGAACTGTCAGCGCACAGTAGTGCAATGAAACCTAAGCAGATAAGGGGAGTAAGACAAGCTGACTGTTGGATGTCTCGTCACGTTTGCTTGCCTGGGATTGGCTGCAATGCGATTCTGGCAAGGTAGGTCTTTATGGGGCAATTGCAGTGCCCTCTGGGTGATGGAGTGTATGGACGGCTGGATGACATGATGGAAGCTGGCTGACTTTGTACGCTGGTTGTATGGATGACGAGAAGGCTGGCGAGGTATGTTGGCGAGGCTCATCGTGCGTCTCGAGGTCTGGGGGGAGGCTATGTGTGGCCTGTCTAGTGGGCCTCACATTGGGAAAGAATAGATCCTATGATCTCTTTACCTTCACTATGACCACAAGTTAAGCCACTCGGTGAGCCCAAACCCCGCCAGGGGAAAACAAGCACGGCGCTGCATTTCAAACACGCGGCCCTCTGTCCCGTAACAACCACTCAAAACATCGCCCCATGAACCGAATCGAACGCTGTGGCAATTTGACAAACATTATTTCTCCTTCCAAATTGAGAGTGACAAGGGAAAACAAACATGAGTGGCCCGGGCGGAGAGGCCGACGTGTTTTGACATGATGTCACTTAACAGCAAAAGTGTAACAACGACAATAAACTCCTGCCGACTGCTGTGTTGACTGCTGTGTTTAGAGGTATAAATACAAGTGTAGTGGAAACACATGCCGGCATTCTTCACACCAGATGTCGACCATGGAAAAACCAAAATACAAAGTGGGAATGGGCCTCCTGGACATTAAAACACAATTACCTC